AGGCATTTTCTTACTTTTCTGTTTGTTTCTCCTTCTCTCCTTCCACACTGCCTATGGAGGGAATGGTTTCAGCTCTGGGACTAATGACACTTCCCTTTTCTGACTGCTTCTTGAGGGAATTGCTATGGGAAACCTCAGGAATACAGGCTTTTTACAATAGACTCTTGGAATGGAGGGGTCGTGTGGTATCCTAGGAAAAAACTGAAGGATCCGAGTCTCATTCCCAGTTCTGCTGGTTAATAGCTATATGCTCTTGGCAAATCACTTAAGCTTTATGCATCTCTGGTTCTCCATTTGTAAAGTGGGGATACGAATAATTTTTACCAGCTGGACGTGGTGGCTCATGCCTGTAATCCCAGCACTTTGGGAGGCTGAGGCAGGAGGATCGCTTGAGGCCAGGAGTTTGAGACCAGCTTGGCCAACGTGGTGAATCCCCATGTCTACAAAAGTTAGCCAGGCACAGTGGCATGCACCTGCAGCCTGTAGTCCTAGCTACTCAGGAGGCTGAGACAGAAGGATAGATTGTGCCATGGAGTTTGAGGTTGCAGTGAGCTATGATTGTGCCATTGCACCCCAACCTGGGCAACAGAGCCAGAGAGGCCCTGTCTTAATAGTAATAATAATAATAATAATAATAATAGCTGTTTCACATAAGGTTACAGAGATGATTAAATCAGTTAATGCATATGAAGTGCTTAGTGCATGGCACATCTTAAGTGTTCAATAAACAGTTCTTGTTTTGTGTTTTTTTTTTAAGTTTATAGAATATGTATGTCAGGTACTATGTTGATTGATTTCACGCATGGACTGCATTTAATCCAAATCATAACTTATGAAAAAGAGATGGTCATCTTCCCCATTTTGTGATAAAAAAAATCTGCAACTCGCAGAATTGACTTGCCCATGGCTGTCCAACTACAATTGGAATGCAAGTATGCACAGACTTCAAGTCTAGGGCTATTCAGGACTAATAATAGGCCACTTAGTAGACCCTACAGATAGTTTGTTCTCCTGTTCCAAACTAGGGTTAGAAGGCTCTAGCTCAGGCTCCAGCTACCTCTATTTTGATTTTTCTCCTTCTAGACTTTAGTTTTCTCTGTGTCCCAAAAGCCTCCACTTCCCCTTCTGTCTCCTTTGGGATTGTTTCCTATTCCTGGAGAAACCTGAGAAAGAGTAAGGGGCCAGCCAGGTGCGGTGACCCAGGCCTGTAATCCCAGCACTTTGGGAGGCTGAGCCTGGCAGATCACCTGAGGTCAAGAGTTTGATACCAACCTAGCTTACCTGGTGAAACCCCGTCTCTACTAAAAATGCAAAATTTGCTGGGTGTGGTGGCGCATGCCTGTAAGCTACTTGGGAGGCTGCGGTAGGAGAATTGCTTGAACCCAGGAAGTGGAGGTTGCAGTGAGCTGAGATCGTGCCATTGCACTCCAGCCTGGGTGACAAGAATGAGACTCTGTCTTTAAAAAAAAAAAAAAAAAGTAAGGGGCCTTTGTAAGCTATGTTTCACAGTATGGCATGGTAGTGGTATAACAGAACCTTGACAGTGGATGGTCAAATCCGGGTACCCTAGGTGTAGGCACTCTTGAGCCATCAGAAAGTCTAAGTTTGAGCTAGTAACCATTATTGTAGTACCTGCTATTTACTGACGACTTGCAATGCATCAGGCTGTGTCCCAGATGCTTTAAGAATACTATCTCTAGGGGAGTGGGGATGTGGGGAGAGATAGCATGGGGAGAAATGCCAGATATAGATGATGGGGAGGAAGGCAGCAAATCATGCTGCCATGTGTGTACCTATGTGACAATCTTGCATGTTCTTCACATGTACACCAAAACCTAAAATGCAATAAAAAAAAGAAAGAATACTGTCTCTAATCCCCGCGGTCACCTAGCCTGATACGGATTATTGTTTCCTTTCTCAGGTAAGAAAACTAAAGCTCAGACGGGTTAAGCGACTTACAGATACACATGTCTAAAGTGGCAGAGGGGAGTTGAACCTGTATCTGTCTCTGTCTTTTCGCCCATTGCCTACTGGCTTGGTATAGTTAGTGAGATGAGACTAACATACATGAAATGATGATGGGCAATATCACATTTCATATTATTATGGACCACATTGTGACGACTAAATTACTCAGAACAAACTTCCTGGAGGAAATGGTACTTGAGCAGTACCTTGAAGAACATGTAGGATTTAGGTTAACAAAAGGAGAGGGGGCATTCCAGGCAGAGGGAACAGTCATTCCAGGCAGAGGGAACTATGATTGATTGAGGCCTTGCCAGACCTGATTCAAAGCACTTGCATTGTCTCATTGGATCCTTCAACAACCCCATTTGGTACTATTATTCCCATTTTACTGCCATGAAAACTAGGGCTCTGAAAAGTGAAGTCACCTGTCTAAAACAACAGAGCTAATGAGTGGTAGAGCTGGGATTCAAACCAAGGTAGTCTGACCCCAGAGCCTGTGTTAGATCTACTGGAATAGCAACAGCAAAGACACAGAATCAGAAAGGGACAGGGCTGATTACAGGGTGTGACTGGAGCAGAGACATGAGAGATTGAGCTGGTAGGTAAAGATAGCTTATTGACGACTTTGAAACTCTGATCTAGTTTACCTTTGATGTGGGACAGGGTAAGAAATAGGGAGCCAGTGAAGATTCTTGAATAGGAGAGTATCCCAGTTCAGTTGGCACCTAACATGATATGATCTAAAAGCAGTGACTGAAGGCAGAACAAGGGAGACAGGCTGACAGACTGCTGTAGTATTTTGGGCATAAAGTTTCAAGGGCCTGGACTAGAACAGGAGTTGGTGGTGGTGGTGGGTTCTGGGAGAAGAACTCTAGTTCTGTCTAATGGCCACAGTGAAAATGGAGGGGGTGTAGGGAGAGAGAGAGAGAGAGAGCAGGAGAGGGCAGGCGACAGCGAGCATGAGCGCAAACCAGGGCCGGAGAAACATCATAAAAGAAGACCCAGTAGAAATCAGTATGGGATTGTATGGTTAGGGAGAAGGTGGCATCAAGGCTGTCTGCACTTTAAACCCGTAACTCAAGAATCCTAAATGTGGAAAAAGGCTTGAAATAGGAAAGGTACTCTGTTCTCCACTATATCCTCAGTGCCTAGAAGCGTAGGACATAGTAGATACACATGGTACATAGTACTACTATTGGTAGATGCTTGACAAATATTTGTTGACCAGATAACTACCTGGTAGCAGCAGGTGGAAAGATTTCCCAGCAGTGTGGCTTTGTGTATAGGACTCCAGAGCAAGCATAGCCCCCAAGGTCTCCTTGTGTCTTCAGCCTCCCCTCTGGGCACTCTGAAATCAATAATAGAACAATGTGATTACAAAGCTGGGGGTTTCACCCGGTTCCTCCATTTACATCTTAGCCACTGTCGCTGACCTGTGGCTCTGCTTCCTGGCCTTTGACAAACAGCTTCCCTTGCCCTTCCTCCTATGTCTCCTGGTCTGTGTCTGGCCTGTTACCACTCAACCCGCGTTTTCCCCAGCAAGGCCATTCTCCTGAGGACTATCTTTGCAGGCCTTAGCCCTCTAGAGCCTTGTACTACAGAGATCTTCTGTGCTTCTGCCGGGGTGAGGGGCATTTGCAGCTGGGATGGAATCCTCCAGCTTGAGTGTGACTATGAATGCTCCTGGGAGGTAGGGAGCTGCTTTATCTCACAATATAGCAAGCTTGTTGAAGGCAGGGACCCTTGTTCTATTTCATCCTGTACTACCAGTACCTATTGTAGACCTTGGCACAGTAACCATGAATAAATTGATGAAAATAATTTATCATATATTTATTTCTCTATCTATTTATCATGTTTCTTTTACCCTACTGTTTATCTCTTTCTCTGTCATCCATTTCTCTCTACTATATATTTCTCTACAGTCTTTCTCAGCATTTTCTCTCCTTTCTGTCATTTGTTTTCCCCTCCATCATCTCTCCCTCTTATCTGTATAATTTGCCTGGTCCTTCCACCATCTCTCTCTCTCCATTCTCTCTCTACTCTCCCTCCTTCTCTCATTCTCCCTCCTATCAATCATCTTTTTACCTCCCGGCATTATCCATATCCCCCATGTGCTGTTTCGCATACCACTCTTCCCCACTTGCAAGGGTGGCATCTGCTCATGCAAAGTATTCCAGGTGACAGAGATGGGTCCTGTATACAGCAGTCAGTACAAAAGTTGTGCCTGCATTCAGGGCCGTGGCCTCAGACTGATTTCCCTCTATGTACCCCTGACCTCCTAAGCAGCCAGTGTCCTCTGTCAGCCTAACATGGTACCATTCACCACTTTGTTCTATCTTCCCTCACAGGAGTTGGGGCTTCCTGACACCACGTTGCCTACCAACTCAGCTGTCTCGCCTCTGTACCCATCTTACCTTTCATTCCATCGGTGCCTTTCCCATGCTTTGTTTGAATCAGCTCTATCTCTCCCATTAATGTGTAAGCTCTCAAGGGCAAATACTATATTGGATTCATCTCTGTATTCCCAGAGTTACACGTAGAGGACACACAGTAAACATACAGTAAATGCTTATTCAATGAATGACTAAAAATTGGAGAATTGACAGCCCAGTGTTGACCTGTTCAAACTTTTCAATCACTTGCCTATTCCTTTCTCAGAGAAAAGTGAGAAGATTGACCAGATTGATTTTCTTTCTCAAAGAGAAGTGAGGACGTGCTCACTGTTCACTGGGTAGCAGCACTCATTTATTCCACAAGTATTTATTGACCATCTGCTCTGTGTCCAGCATTGTGATACATGCTCAGGATACTCTTGTGAACAAAGCAGCCCTATGAAGCTGACATTCCATATCTCTAGAATGAAGGCGACTTGAGAACTAGGAGATCAGGAGGGCCACTAAGATTCCCACACCAGTTTCTTGTAGGATGTTCTACTTTATTGAAGGAAAAGAGGGGGGTGGGGCGGAAGCTGCCTGGGAAGTGATTTCAGCTCTGGTTCCTTAAGCCTATTTCCTGTCCCTTTCTTGTAGGAGGAACGCCCCTGTCAGTAGGCCGCACTCATGGCATGTGGCCAAGCTGCTGGAGAGATGCCCTGAAGCAGCCACCACCATGCATTTCCCTTCTGAAGCCTTCAGCTTGTCCTGGCATTCCGGCTGCAACACAAGGTGATTCTAGAGCCCTTCCCTCAAGATGGGCTGGAGGGACAACTTGGACACTCCTCTTCCTCTGCTCTAATCCCTAGTGGATGTTAGAGCCTCAAGTGCTATAACAGAAAAGCAAGTGGGAGCCCAGAGTACCTGAGTTCAAGTCCTAGTCTCTTGCTAACTCTGTGATTTGGGGCTAGTCCCTTTCCTTCTGGACCATGTTTCCTTGAAATACCTCTTTGGGCTTACAAGACACCATACTGCCCTGCTTTTCATCCTATTTCACTAGCTGTTCTTTCTCCTTCTCTCTTTTCCTAATTCCCTTCATTCTCCTGTCTCTTAAAGTAGGAAGACCCCAGGGCTCAGTTCTAGCCTGCTTCTCTATCAATGGCGACTCACTGGTGACCTTATGTGGTCTTTATTACCTCTGTCACATAGCCAAAGCCTTCAAAATAGGGACCTCCCTGAATAACTGTTATTGAAACAGTTGCCCAAGAGACAGACAGCGTTTTCTGCAGGCTGAGAACCAGCAAACGTGCTGCCCTTCACTGCCTTTTCCCTTCCACGAGAGCTTCCCTCCAAGAAGGGATTTCTATTGGGGGTTCAGAGAAGCTAAGGGTTCAGTTTACCCCAACTCGGTGACTTTTTGGAAGCCAGGGTCTCAGGGCAGAGGCAGTTTTGTTCTGGAAGAATATGCAGAAACACACTTTGACATTCTTAAGCATGGCTCCTGTTTGAGTGACGATGTGTTTTTGTTTTTGTTTTTTTCAGCAGGAATAGTGGTGGGGTGGGTAGCAGGTTCCCTTGCCAACAAGAAATTGCTTGATTCCTTGACCAGAGAACAAGTCAGCTGACTGGCTAACAGGCAAGGCAGGGAGCAAGAATGAGGGGAAGCTGACCTGAGGGTCTCACGGGCTGCTGCCACAGTTCAACTGTGGCTTTCTGGACTATGGCCTTTCTGAGAGCAGCCTGTAACCTCTGGGGTGCTCAGTTTGGCTTTGTGTGTGGGAAGTGGTACTTAAAATTGAAGATTGCATCTGATCCTGGCCCTTCCCTTGGTCTTCCTGTGGGAGGTGGGGGAGGTGTGGGTGGGCAGAGGCCGCTATACTATCAATACTAGTCATAGAGAGGATGCTGATGACAAAAACTAATAATCAAGAGACGAGCAGCTGCCATGTATTGAACCCTTGAGAGGTACCTGGGCTGTGGTCAGGGCTTTACATTTATCATCTGCTTTCATCTACACATCAACCCTATGATATAGATATTACTATTTTCATATTTAAAAGACCATATGGCAATAGAGCTAAGATGCTGGACTCAGGACTGGATTCAGATTCCAGCTGTGCTGCTTTAACAGCTTAGTGAGTTTGTCGGTTTACTTTATCTCTCTAAGCTTAAGTTTCTTCCATTGTAAAGTGTAGATAGTAATCTGTCCCATAAAGATGGGAACAATAGACACTGGGAAATATAAAAGCAGGGAGAAAGGAAGTGGGACAAGGGTCAAAAAGCTACCTATTGGACACTCTGCTCACTTCCCAGGTGATGAGTTCAATTGTACTCCACACCTCAGCATCACGTGATACACCTTTGTAACAAACCTGTACGTATACTCCTGAAATCTAAAATAAAATTGGAAAAGAAAAAAAAAAAAGATCTATCCTTTTCAGCTTGAATGATAAAAGCATGATGCTCAGAGCTAGGTCTTCAGAGTGCCTCAGCCAAGCCCCTGAGAGGTTTGCTATTATCAAGAAAAGAATAGAAGAACACCTGAGTGACAGTCCAGTCTGTGCCAGTGGTTAGAGCTGGGTGTTCTTGAGTAAATCACCACCTCAAAATCACTTCCCTTTGCTGGGCTTGCTTTACACCAGTGGTTCTCAAAAGTGTGATCACTGGATGAATAGACAGCACCAGCAGCACCTGAGAAGTTGGAAGTTCAAATTCTCAGGATTCACCCAGACTTAAAGCTCTAGGATGAGGACCAGTGACCTGTGTTTTAATAAGCCCTCCGTGTGATTCTGATGCACATCCTCATTTGAAAATCATGGATTTATTTACAAAACGGTGTGGCTCTCTCTAATGCTGATATTCTGTGATTGTCTCTTTTGGCAGGAAGCTACATGCTGACTCCCTAGGGACAGGGACAGCCCAGAGGCAAATTCAGACTTGCTAATGTCAGGGAAATAGAGGATAACTCCCATAGAGTTCTCCCACTTTTAGTCCTTAGGGTATTTCCCCATCTTTCTTCCATATATCATCTTGTGTCTCATTTTACTAAGCCCCTGAGGTGCCCCAATGTCCATCATCTTCCCTGTTTCCTCTTCTTCCATTTTTCTGCCTACCCTCCTCTCATTGGTGGCATGGGTACCTCTGGGCTGGCCAGCCCTTTCCTATGACAGGGCTGGCCATGAAGGGAAAGTGATCTGGTGATTTGGCTAACCAGTATGCCCTGTGTCTTACAGTGACGTGTGTGTGCAGTGGTGTCCACTCTCCCGGCACTGCAGCACTGAGAAAAGCAGCTCCATTGGCAGCATGGAGAGCCTGGAGCAACAAGGCCAAGCCACCTGTGAGAGCCATCTGTTGCCTATTGATCAGAACATGTACCCTAACCAGCGTGACTCAGCATACAGCTCCTTCTCAGCCAGCTCAAATGCTTCTGACTGTGCCCTTTCCCTCAGGCCAGAGGAGCCCGCCTCTGCAGACTGCATCATGCAAGGCCCAGGGTCATCTAAGGCTCCCAATAGCCGGCCTAATGTAGCTGAGACCTCAGGAGGTAGTCGGCGTGCCAGTGGGGGCCACCTGACCCCCAACTCCCAGATGTCAACTCGTCCACAGGAGGGACACCAGTCAGGGTCTGCCAAGGCAGTCAGGGGCCCACCACAACCTCCAGTGAGGCGGGACAGCCTTCAGGCCTCCAGAGTCCAACTTCTCAATGGAGAGCAGCGCAGGGCATCTGAGCCTATGGGCCCCTTGCCACAGAAAGAGAAACTGAGCTTGGAGACAGTACTACCCGCAAGGAACCCTAATAGATTCTGTTGCCTCAGTGGGCATGACCCAGTAACAACTGAGGGCCATCAGAACTGTGAGTTCAGTCAGCCTCCTGAATCCAGCCAACAAGGCTCTGAGCATCTACTGATGCAGGCCTCAACCAAAGCTGTTGGATCCCCAAAAGCCTGTGACAAAGCTTCCAGCATGGATTCCCACTCACTCAGTGAGGCTTCAGCAGAGCTAGCTAAGGCTTCTTTTGGCAGACCTCCACATCTCATAGGACCCACAGGGCATCGCCATAGTGCCCCTGAACAACTGTTGGCATCCCACCTGCAGCATGTGCACCTTGATACCAGGGGCAGCAAAGGGATGGAGCTCCCACCCGGACAGGATGGGCACCAGTGGACTCTGTCTCCTTTGCACAGCAGCCACAAAGGGAAGAAAAGTCCATGTCCCCCTACAGGAGGAACCCAGGACCAGTCCAGCAAAGAAAGAAAGATCAGACAAGTGGATGACAGGCCTTTGGTTTTGAGATACCAGAGCCAAAGCAGTCCTCCCCATGGAGAGGTTGATGGACACCCCTCAGAAAGAGGTTTCCTGGACCTAAACAGAACAAGCAGAGCAGGCAGTGAATTGGCCAACCAGCAATCCTCTGCCCCTGGCTCCCTTGTTCAACAATCCAGGGACTGTTCTTCAACCACTAAAGTAGCTGGTGGCACAGAGGCAACCGAAGAAGGAGACAGTGAGCCCAGGGAGTGTAGCCGGATGGGTGGCAGGCGAAGTGGAGGGACCCGGGGCCGCTCAATCCAAAACCGGCGGAAGAGTGAACGTTTTGCTACCAATCTGCGTAATGAAATTCAGAGGAGAAAGGCCCAGCTCCAGAAAAGCAAGGGTCCCTTGTCACAGCTGTGTGACACTAAGGAGCCAGTGGAAGAGACCCAGGAGCCCCCAGAAAGTCCTCCACTCCCTGCCTCTAACTCATCGCTTCTATCTTCATGCAAAAAAACCCCCAGCCCCAGAGACAAGCTCTTCAACAAAAGCATGATGCTCAGAGCCAGGTCTTCAGAGTGCCTCAGCCAAGCCCCTGAGAGCCATGAATCTAGGACAGGCTTAGAGGGACGAATAAGCCCTGGCCAGAGGCCTGGCCAGTCCTCTTTGGACCTGAACACCTGGTGGAAAGCATCTGACCCATCCTCCTCAGACCCTGAGAAAGCACATGCTCACTGTGGAGTTCGTGGAGGTCATTGGAGATGGTCTCCAGAGCTTAATTCACATCCACATGTGGCAGTAGCCATGGAAGGCCCTTCCAACCCAGGTGACAACAAGGAATTGAAGGCTTCTACTGCTCAAGCTGGGACAGAAGCCATCCTCTTGCCTTTTGCAGACAGAAGAAAGTTCTTTGAAGAGAGTAGCAAATCCTTATCTACATCTCATTTGCCAGGTTTAACCACTCATAGCAACAAGACTTTTACCCAGAGACCAAAACCAATAGACCAAAACTTCCAGCCAATGAGCTCCAGCTATAGGGAATTGAGGCACCATCCCATGGACCAATCATATCATTCCACAGACCAAGCATATCATGCCACAGACCAATCATATCATTCCATGTCACCCCTTCAGTCAGAAACTCCTTCTTACTCAGAATGTTTTGCAAGCAAAGGTCTAGAAAATTCCATGTGTTGTAAGCCACTACACTGTGGTGATTTTGACTACCACAGGACCTGCTCTTACCCCTGCAGTGTTCAGGGAGCTGTAGTCCGTGATCCTTGCATTTATTGTTCTGGGGAAATCTGCCCTGCCTTGCTAAAGAGAAATATGATGCCAAATTGCTACAACTGCCGGTGCCACCACCACCAATGCTTTCGGTGTCCAGTTTGCTACCATAATCCTCAGCACAGTACCCTCGAGGACAGCAGCTTGGCACCTGGCAACACTTGGAAACCCAGAAAGCCAACAGTGCAGGTGAGGACTTGGTTCTTGGGTGGGTAACCTTCATTATTCTCTTAGTGAGGAGAAAGCTAGGTAAGTTATTTTAAAATAGAACAATCATAATTCCTTGAAACTGTACACCGCTGGCTCCAGGAGCTGTTAGCTTAGTAACCTTGAACAAGATACACAACCAGAAAAATTGCAGTTGCCTCATCTTTAGAGTTAGAGCTTCATAAAATGGACACAACTGAGATTTACATCCTGACTATAAAATTGATATCCGAGTGACCCAAAGCAAGTCATTCAACTACACGCATTTGAAGTATGTGATTCTAAAGGGAAAAGATAATTTTTCCCTTATAAAACAGCCAGTATTAAGAAGAGTCTCACTACCTCATCTCTAAAATGAAGGAATATTATGGCTGCCTCATGGATCAGTTGTGAGAATCAAATGAGATTGTGTTTATCGAGTGCTAAGCCCAGTGCATGATGCAAAATTTCACTTGTTGCCTCCCTTTTTCTGCTTCAGAATTATTTAAAGATGAAAAATTTGCAAATATCCCCAGGGTTTGTTTTCAGAGATCTGGCTTGTCTGTTTTCTAAAAACACAAATCCTTTCCCCTTTCTCCATCCTGTCTCTGTTGGAGATCCAGGTCTAAGCTGGCTGTTCTTATTATATCCTGGTTATGACATACCACCCTAACACAAGCCACCACCATTCCCCAGGTTACTTCTGGGAGAACTCCCTAGGTCCTTGCGTACTCACTGCCAAATTCCTTCCCCATGACATCCTTAATGCCATCTTTTGGCCCATGCATTCAAGCCAGAAGTTAATTCCTGTGTTCAGCTGTTGCATACACAGACACTTTTGAAATGACTGAGTATATGAATCTGCTCAATATATATTCTTGGGAAAAAAAGAAACTTTAAGAGTGAAAGAAGCCTTACACAAAAGACTGTGAACTCTGCTATTCCTTTTATATGAAATTCAAAAACAGCTATTCTATGGGGAAAGAAATTCAGAACACTGTTTGCTAATGGGAGGTGACATAGAGATTGACTGGAAAAGGGCATGAGGGAACTTGTGGGGTGGTGACAATATTCTATATCTTGTAAAAGTTTGAATTAAACATATGTACCTGTCAGAACTCAACAAATGTACAGCAAGGCTGCTAGACAGCCAATGCACTTAATATGTGTACAATTCACTGGAAGTAAATTTTGCCTAAAAATGTTGTAAACAGATATCAAACTTTATTCAATATGTATGCTGAAGTGTTTTTGAAGTTGACTGCTGTATTCAACTTAGGTTTTCAGCATAAAGTGCCGAATCCTAGCCGCTCAACTACCAGGGGTATTTGCCCCAAATATTTTATGTTTATAGATGCTATTATAAAGAGTATTATTTTCTTAATGTCAAGTTGAAATTCTTGATTACTACTATCTAGAAATATAATTGAGTTTTGTGTATTGACCTTGTATCCTTCAATCTTGCCAAACTCACTTATTACTTCTAATAGCTTTTTGGTTGATTATAAAATATTTTCTACATACACAATCATGTCCCAGCAAATAGAATTTTGTATCTTTCTTTTTCCTATACATGTCCTTTTCTGGGAGAGAGAAGAGCCTTGTCACACTGTCTCACCTTCAATGCAATGTTTGGAGGAGATGGTGAGAGTGGACATTGCTGCTTTTTTTCTTAATCTTTCACTATTAAGTTTGATGTTAGCTGTAGGATTTTTTGTAGATACCCTTTAATTAAGGAATATCTCTTTTATTCTTAGTTTGCTGAGAGTTTTCATCAGAAGTGGATGTTGTATTTTTTTCAAATGCTTTTTCTGTATCTGTTGAGATGATCATATAATTTTTTTCTTTAGTCTACTGATACGGTGAATGGCATTGATTGATTTTTTAAATAAGTACAAGCACAGCATTGCCAGGATAAATCCCACTTGGTCATGATTGATTATCCTTTTATATGTTACTAGATTTGCTAATATTTTGTTAAGGATTTTGCATTTATGTTTATCAGGGATTTTAGTCTATAATTTTATTATAACATCTTTTCTGTGTTTGTTTGTTTGTTTGTATCAAGGTAATGCTAGCCTTAAAGAATGAGTTGGGACATATTCCTTCTCTTTTATTTTCAGGAAGAGTTTGTATAAAAATGTCTTCCTTAAATGTTTGGTTGAATTCATCATTGAAGCCATCTGGGCCTGGAGGTTTTTTAGTAGAAAACTATTTAACTACAAATTCAATTTCTTTAATAGATATGGGGACATTTAGGTCATGTATTTCTTCTTGAGTAAGCTTTGATAGTTTGTGTCTTTGAAGAAACTTGTCCATTTCATTTACATTTCAAATTTATGGGGATATAGTTGTTTTCAACTTACTTTAAAATGCATCAAGAATTTAAGATGGATTGGTAGATGGCTAGAAGGGTAAATAGATATACGATAAGGTAAATATATCAAAATGTTAATTGTAGAATCTAAGGTGCTGGGTATATGGGTGATCACTGTGAACTTCTTTCAACTTTTTTGTAAGTTTGAATATATTCATAATCTTGAAAAAAGAGGAGAGGAACTATAAAATAATGGTTTTAAGGACACCGAAGCTGAAACCAGACTGCCTGGTTTTGAATTTCTTCCCCTGAACTTACAATGCCTAAGCTTTCCCATCTAAAAACACGGGGGTAGTAACAACACTTATACCATAAGTTGGTTGTGGGGAGTAAGTGATGTAACACATGTAAGACTTGGAGCAGTGACTGCCAGATTGTAATCATAAGTGAGTTATCTCTTAAAGGGACATTTTGGCTTAGCTTGAGAGACTTTCTCTGAAAGAAGGACCCCACAGATAGACAGTAGACAAAGGGGGCTGAGATTTGGTGGCAGGGGGAAGTGAGGGGATGACGGCTGCAGTGTTGTCAGCCCAGGACCAGCAACCCTGTAAGAGAAGGGGCTACAATTTGCAGGTTGCAGCAATTGGCAGCAGTAAATCATGTGGGTAAGGCTGTGCCTAAACCATCTCTCTTTTTTTTTGTACTCTGAGGGAGGGATACCTTGGGTTCCTAATGCTTGTTAGACCAGCTAAGCAGGTCTGCTTAGATACTAGGCATTCAGACACGTGGATGGCTGCCTAGGAACGACCACATGCCCATTTCTAATCCTGCCATCTGAACTTTCCACTCCCACCCCACCCCCCTCAAGAAATGAGAAGAACTTGCAGCATGGGTTAATATGTTCTAGCTCTGATGACTAAGGTAGTTGTGGTGGTAGCTCTCTGAAGTAGGGCTGAGATCCTGCTACTAATGCCCTTGCATAAGGTTGGTGAGGTAATTGGCTCTTGTTCAGTACTACGAAGACTGAAATCAGCATGCACTCACATCCTTCATGCTTCATGCCAGCTTGTTTTGCATACATTGTCAAATTATTTCACTTAGCAATTGTATGAGATACGTTATAATAGGATCTCCCATTTTACAGCTGAGGAAGCTGAGAAAGCCAAGGCTCAGAGAGGTCACACATCTAGAAAGTGGCAGAGCCAGAGTTTGAATAATAAGACAGCAACTGGCATCTGAATGTCTACTGGGCACCAGGTACTATTCTAGGTGCTTTACAGTATCAAGTCATTGAGCCCTCAATATTATTATCATGATTATACTATTATATAGTTGGGGAAACTGAGATAAAAAGAAGTTGAGTGCCTTGCCTGAGGCCACAAGTGAAAGGCAGGTGTGTGATTTGAATCCATGCTATCAAGCTCTGGAAGCCAAGCTCCTGATTGTGCTACACTGCCTCTCCATAAGCTGATTGCAAAGCCCAGGCCCTCTCTAGCATGGCAGGATGCCCTCTAGCAGTATTACTCCCACTGGGGCAGCAAGTTCCCATCACAGTCTCCATTTGCAGCAAGCCATGGGGACATGAGGATAAATGCTTTGGTTCAAAGGGTGCAAGCAGTGTACCAGGATCTTATGTGGCTTAGGAAAAAAGGAAAGTGATACTGTGGACCTGGGAAGGTAGTTGGAAGTTGATATGGGACTTTGTTTGGTTGAGCACTGCTATTTACTGAGCATGTCCACAGGGCTAAACAGGGCATGGACAGAAAATCCTGGCCCCCACTATGGTTGAACAAGTAATGGTGTCTTTGCAGGCAGGAACATCTCACAAGGGCATTGAGGCAGAGTCTGAAGTAAAGGTGGTTAGAGCTGTTCTGACATGCCAGATATAGGCAGGAACTGCTCTGGTCCTTTAAAAGATGAAGCCAAAAAATAAACCTCAACTTTTCCATTGCTGCTAACATCCAGAGCCTCTTATGTGCCAAGCATTGTGTTAAGAGTTTTCTCTGCACATCTTATTTATCATCACTACTGGTCACCCAGGAGTGATGACCCTTATTTGTCAGATAGGAAACTGAGGTGAGGTTCAGGGAGGTAATATGAGTTCCCTCAAATAACACCACTGTTAAGTGTCTTAGCCAGTATGACTGCACCAAGGACTATGTTTATTCTGCTTCACCAGGCATCTTACCTTCAATAGTGAGACCTACTGGGGCAAAGGCAATAAAACTTTGAATGGGACTAATAATAATCACATTGAAGAAAGAGGAAATTTGGAAGATCAGTGAAATTTAGGAAAAACTACACCCCATTGAGCTAAACTCTGAGTCTCTAGGTACAGAGTGTTGGATACAAAATGAGGGAGAATCTGAAAGACTATTTTGCATTCAGTTTGGAGCTAAAATAGGAAGGTAGGGACAGTTTTACAAAGGGCACATATGGCTTGGCCTAGAAGAAAAGGAGTTGCTGGGACATGGCCCTTAAGGAAAAAATGCCCAGCGTAGAAAGTCTACTCCTGTAATGTAGGGACCATGGCACCCTGCACTTACATTCCCCAGAGATGGGCCCACCTCAGCCCCTGCCAGCAGATATGGGCAGAGAAGGAGGAACCACTGCAGTCAGAGGCATGCCAGCTTACCTGCTCACCCTCTGCCTCACCTGCAAGCAGGAGCTTCTGCCCTCACAGCTTCCTCAGCGGCCAGGGCTTCCAAGAAGATGCTTTCTCTATTTGAAGAGGCAGGAGGAATGAGCAGGTTCACACAGCAGAACAAACAAAAGGAGCTCCATCCCTCCATGCAGGCAAGAGCCAGGGCACACAGCAAACATACTAAACTGGTTTTCAATGTGGTTTGGGAAGGGAGTGGAAAAAGAGGGAAACAGCATTTCTAGACCACGGTGTCCAGGTCCCCAAGTGCTCTCTTAGTCTCTGCATGCCTGCAGCAGTGTAGCAAGCCTCCCGACAGAAAGGCAGCCCTCCAGGTACACATTTCTCAGCCTGCATTTCAGAGTAAAAGGAACAAGCTGGGGGGCTAGGCCAGACACTGGCTTCTCACCTCTTCCCATTTTTGAGGCCATCTAGATAGCTGGCTGCTCAAAGCTTTCTAACTTACCAGGATTTTGCTTTACAGGAATTTCCTGGGGACAAATGGAAACCAATAACAGGAAACAGGAAGACCAGCCAGTCAGGGAGGTAAGTGAGCGCTCAGGGAATTGGGGTGACTTGGTGCCTCTGAAGCTTCTATAGAAATTGCTAAGGTCTTTGCTTTGCTTAGTTTCCTTTGAGGAAACTGGCCTAGTATCTAGACTAAAGGGCTTGATGCCATAGATATAATACAGCTTGCACCCCACCCCCCCAGATTGCTGGGTACAGACCAAACTGATTGCTGGGGCATTTTGGAATATGCAAGTTTCCTCTATTAGACTGAGACCCTTGAGAGAGGACACCATACCTTGGTCATAGCCTTATTCTCTGTACTTAGCACAGTGCCTGATACAGAGAAGTTGCTCAAGAGATATTTGTCATTTGCTTGCCAAATGAAGTGGAGCCTCCTCCACCATTAAATGGGTGAAATGACACAAAAGTCATAATGCTAGCTAACATTTCTTGAACACAGTGCTCTGTTCTAGACCCCATTCAAATCACTTTACAGGTATTTATTTATCACTATGACCTTATGGAGCTGGGAATATCAGTCTTTGCGTTTGACAGAGAGAAGAAACTGAGACACACAGAGGTACATTCATTTGCCTAAAGTCCCACAGCTAATCAGTTGCCTAGACCCAGGCGGTCTAGCTTCAGGGACACAATACTGCACTACAATGTTTCTCTGAAATAGTTATTTTACCGATGAGTCAGTGAAATAAAAGGACTTTATTGAAAACCTGGTATAGGTCCTAACTTTTCCTGGGAAAGGTAAATACTAGCAAAAGAGCAGCGGGAAGCATGATGTCTGCCCACAGCCTGAGCAGGGAAGACTAACCCACACAAAGCTAAATGGCAGTAATAATAAATTACCACTTGCCAAACAACCTACGTGCTGCAAGCTGAGTTACACATACTCTATTATGCTTTATGTTCACAACAACTCTGTCAGGTAGGTGTGATTGTAACTCGGCAGTGCTTCTCAAACTTGAGTGGGCAATTGAAACACAGGTCAATAGTTAGACCCGACCCTGCGCCCCTAGAGTGATTTAGTAGGGGAGAAGTGGAGCTCAAAATCTGTAATTCTAACAGGCTCTAACAGCTAACAGTATCTGGGTGATGCTGAGGCAGCTGGTCCTAGGATCACACTTTGAGAACTGCTAACTCAGATAAAGGATCGCTGTCAGAGAGGCTAAGGAATCTACTCAAGGTCTCACAGCTAGTAAAGGGATAAGCCAGGATTTAAGGCTAGCTTTTACTTTCTCTCACAAGTTGACAGAAGATGAAACACTGTCAAATACAGGGCTTAAGAAGTGCCTGGAACCTGGTAAGGGGGCAGTATATGGTAACTATTATTGTACACTATTTAAGTTCATTGGAGGGTAAAAATGACTAAAGGTGGGGAGTTACAAGAGGAAAGACTCATAGAGGAGACTAAGCAGGGTGCGTTGGAGGAATAATCCCCACTGGTTAAGTTCTGGCCTTGCAGTCAGTTCTGCCTGAGTTCAAAGCCAGGTTCTTCTATTCACTAGCTATGTGGCCTTGGCCAGTGCCTCCTGCCTGCCTCGCTCCCACTCTCTCTTTCCCTTCCGTCCTTATTTATAAAATGGGATAAGAGTCCCCACCTCAAATGTGTGGTGTTATGAGGACTAAATGATTTAATATATGTAAAGCATTTAGAGCAAAACCTGACACCATAGACTCTCAGGAAATATTATCTGTAATGAGGAGGAAGAAGAACTGCAGCAACAGAGAAGAAAGGTGAGTAGATCAACCTAGGTAAACCTAGATAGGATCACAAACATGGGAGCAATGAAAGGTTATCATCAGGTAAGTGACATGATAAATGTGGCCCTTTAGGCAATTTTGCAGTATCTGCAGCCTAAGTGGGTTGAAGAAAGACCAATTAAGGGAAGTGATCCAGGCAAGACAGAATGTGGCCCTGGGTTGGGTAGGTAGAGGTGCAATAGAAATGGAGCAGAAGGAATAAATAAATAATGTGTGATATTTGGAGGAGGGGAGTTTGTTTATTGTGAAAACAATGTTACAAGAAATTTAAAATAGAAAAAAAAATAACCTTATTGTTATCACCTTCACACCCTGGTTGTTTTCATTTCCCTGTCAGCTTTATAGGTATAGAGATTTTTTAAAGCATGATGATAATAACCATGTAGATGTAATTTTGTGTGCCCTGCTTCTTTTTCCTCTCTACGCATTACTTGGTAAACAATTTTTCATGTCGCTATGCAGGTTTCCTCAAGTCATAATTTTTAGTGGCGATATAATATTTCACCAGCTTAATGTGCTCTAATTTGCTTAATCATTCCCAAAATATTAGATAATTAGGTAGTTTCCAATTTCTTGCTATTATAAAGTAATGCAGCAGAAATATTTTGATTTGCTATGGCTTTTTTTCTCATTTTGAATTATCTCATTAATAACAATTATATGGATTTGTGATTACTAGTGCAAAGAATATGAACATTCTTATGGTTCTGCATAGATTTTGCCAAACTGCTTTCCCCGCAAGATGTTTTACGTGCCATTAGCAAGATTTTGTTACCATTGGAAATTTTCTTTTTCTAATGCCATACAGTTTAATGGGACCTATTATAGTTTAAATTTGCTTACTTTGATCATTCTAGTTTGAACATTTTGTGTGTCTAATTAAATATTAATATCTGTATTGCTTCTCATGTGAATTATCTGTTCAAATTATTTGCTCACAAATATGTGACACCTTTTGAGGGCAAAGTAGAGAAAACTTGGTGACTAGAACTTGAGGAGAAAAAAGGAAATATATCTTAGCCAAGCATGATAGTGCACGCCTGTAGTCCCAACTGCCCAGGAGGCTGAGGCGGGAAGATCACATGAGCCCCAGAGTTCGAGGTGGCAGTGAGCTGTGATCATGTGACTGCACTCCAGCCTGAGTGACAGAGCAGGACCCTGCCTCAAAAAGGAGACAAAAATTAACTCTGAGCCCCAGTGACTTGGAAAATGTTATGGACATAGATGGGGCAGTTGAGAAGGGGAGCTGGTTTGGTGAAGATGCTGTCAAGTTTGAATTGGGATATGTTGTATCTGAAATTAGTGGAAGATACAAGTTGATTCTTTCAAGGCTTGTCAAACACCCAGCCAGGGGATAGGTTAAGGAAGAAGAACCAACAAAGGAAGCTGAAGGGTCAAGCAGCTGAAGTAGTAAAAGAAGAAATCTGCTAGTGTAGAAGATAAGCAGATAAAAGCAGTAGACATAGAAAATAAACGGCATGGTAGTCTGTAAGGGGGAAGCATAGAGAAGAAATGTAAGCAGCTTTACACATCCCAAATTGACCTGTTTTAAGTGTACAATTCAATGATTTTTAGTAAGTTTACAGTGATTTATTATCACCACATTCCAGTTTTAGAACATTTCTATCACCCTAAAAAGATCCCTCATGCCCGTTTGCCGTTGCTCTCCATTCCCACCCTTGACCTCAAGCAACCACTAATCTACTTTCTGTCTTTGTAGATCTTCCTTTTCTGTGCTCTCCATATGACTCAAATCTCACAATATGTGGTCTTTTGTGCCTGACTTCTTTCACTTAGCGTAAGTTTAGCAGTTCATCCATGTATCAGTACTTCATTCCTTTTTATTTCCAAATAGTAGTCCATTGTATGAATGCATCGTATTTTGTTTACTAGTCCTTCCACTAATGGATTGTTGGGTTGTTTTCACTTTTTGGCTATTGTGAATATTACTGCCATGAACATTCATGTAGAAGTTTCTGTGTAGATTTATGTTTTTAATTCTCTTTAGTACATATTTAAGAGTGGAATTGCTGAACCAAATGATAACCATATTGTTTAACTTTTTTGAGGAACTGCCTGTTTTCTAAGGCAAATCCACCAGTTTACATTCCCACCAGCAAAAGAGAGTTCCAATTTCTTTTGGCTAATTTTAATACAATGATTAATTGCTGCTGTGTGGTTTTTTAAATGTTTAAAAAGGGACCAGGTGCAGTGGCTCACACTTGCAGTCTCAGCACTTTGGGAGGCCAAGGCGGGAAGATCCCTTGAGGTTAGGAGTTCAAGACCAGCTTGGCCAACATGGTAAAACTTCATCTCTACTGAAAATATAAAAATTAACCAGGCAAGGTGGCAGGTGCCTGCTTTCCCAGCTACTTAGGAGGCTAAGGCAGGAGAACTGCATGAATCCAGGAGATGGACATTGCAGTGAGCCAACATTGTGATACTGCACTCCAGCCTGAGCAACAGAGTGAGACTCTGTCTCAGAAGAAAAAAAGTTTAAAAAAGAAGATGTTTAAAAAGAATAAATTAGCTAGGGAAAGGAGAAAGAGAGAAATAGGATGATAGAAGGAGTAATTGGGTTTAATTTAGTGGTTCTCAAAATGTGGCCCCAGGCCCAGCAACCTCAGTATCACCTGAGAACTTATTAGAAATGCACATTCTCAGGCCATACTCAGACCTACTGATTCAGAAAGTGGGGGTGTGGCCCAGCAATCTCTGTTTTAGCAAGCCCTCCAGGCAATTCTGATGCAAGCTAAGTTCCAGAACCACCAGTTTGAATGAAGCTTCAATCAGGATCCAGAAAACTGAATTAAGTTTAAAACTGAAAGGAAAGCTCAATAGAAAAGGAAGTAGTATTGACACTGAAGATGGAAGAGGCGGGTTCCAATTGAAGGTCTCAGGAAACATGAGAAGGACTAGGAAATGTCCAGGGCATAGATGACATTTGTGAGGAGAAATCCTGATAGTTTCCCCTCACACCTTCCCCCACCACCACCCACAAATTTTAACATTTACTATGTTATTTCTGTCACAACTGGAATGATGGGTGTGGGTGGAAAAATCAAATGTATATTCTTAAGCCACTCTCTTTGCCTGGAAGCCTGCAATGAACTGATAATTTCAGGTAGTTATACTCTTAGTTGTCTCCCTCCACTGTTATTTGGTTTTCCGTGAAGAGAATGTAAAAATTTTAATATTAGCAGGAGGGGGGAAAATCATAAATAGATCAACTGGGAGAAAAAGCTACATTACTGTGATGT